TTTTGTATTTAGGAAATGGCGAAACGGATATTTCCATTGTGTGAGAGCTTTATATTGATAGACCAGTTTGTTGAGTCGAGGTCACAGTTCAAGAATGGTTTAGTTAATCATGCTTTTGCTGCCAGTCTCAGGGCTTTCCTTCTAGTAAGTTTTCTTTATATTATATTATATATATATAGCTTTTTTAGAATTTTAATCGAAAATATGATGGTTTTTTATTAGGATTATGAGGCCATGGTAGCTCAGCTTGAACATCAGTTTCGACTTGGAAGACTTTCTGTGCAAGGATTGTGGTTTTACTGTCAGGTTCTTTGAGTTAGTTTCTGAATCAATATGGTATTTGCAAGTTTATTAAATTTTCACTCAATGGGTTTCTATAATGATTTGCAGCCAATGATGGGGTCAATGCTAGCATTGTCCACTGTGATACACAAGGCTTCAGCTAATAATTTTGTTGGTTCAGCAGTTTTAAACCTTTTGCAGAGCCAGGTAAAACCTTTTGAGTTACTTTAAACATTTCTAGTTTTGCATTCTTATATATCTGGTATTAGTTATTTACTTTGTTACTCATTTGACTTTTACTATATCCAGGCAAAGGCTATGGCCGGTGATAATACTGTGAGGTCTTTGCTAGAAAAGATGACACAATGTGCAAGCAATGCTTATCTGGGCATATTAGAAAGGTAACCTTTATTAACCCACCACAAAACAAGTCTATTTCTTGTTTACTTCCAGAAGGATTTCCCTGAGTATGCTTTTAACTGCATTGCTGTCCTTTAGTTTTAAGGTGAAACCCTTTCTTATGTTCTCAATGTGAAAAGGAATTTAGGATTCTTTTACTTCTTATCGTTCAAGGACCCATATTTTTAAGCATTATACACTGTCTTTTGCTCCATAATTTTAGGATTTATGGTGATTGATTACCTTACTTGAGAGTTAAAATCACACAAACTTTAGGTGGGTCTATGAAGGAGTGATTGATGATCCTTATGGTGAATTTTTCATTGCTGAGAACAAGTCTCTTCAAAAGGTATGTTGAGTTTGTTCATTATTTTTTAATGCATCAAATTTGTGCTTTTGATGCTCACAGTTTCTAGTTTCTTTATAGGAGAGTCTCACTCAGGATTATGATGCTAAGTACTGGAGGCAACGTTACAGCCTAAAGGATGGAATTCCTACCTTCCTTGCAAATATAGCTGGAACAATTTTGACCACAGGGAAATATTTAAATGTGATGAGAGAATGTGGTCACAGTGTTCAGGTTTGTGCTAAGGCCCTTGCCATACTGTACACCATGTTGTATGGACTTCCATGTGATTGCTTTAGTTATTTCTGTTGATTGGATTGTAATTTTATAGGCCCCTGTGACAGAGAATTCAAAATTAATGAGTTTTGGCACAAACCATCATTATCGTGAGTGTATAAAAGCTGCTTATGATTTTGCCAGTGCTGAACTCTTAAATCTTATTAAAGAAAAGGTAAGGCTCCATTAGTATCACTGACCAACTTCTGTGCTTATTCCATAAGTGTTTTTTGGTTCTGCCAATATATTTATTATTCTTGGCAATTTCTTTTACCTGAGTGCTATCTCTTGTAACAATTTATGTTACTTCTACTGGTGTAGTATGATATCATGGGAAAGCTACGGTCTATAAAGCACTATCTTCTTCTCGATCAGGTACATTCACTTCTATCGGAGAACTTGAAACAAAATCAATTTATTTTGTGGCAGTTACTGAATATGGGCACCTCACCTAAGTATTTATTATTATAGGGTGATTTCTTGGTTCATTTTATGGACATAGCTCGAGAGGAGCTCACAAAAAAGCTTGATGAGATTAATGTGGAAAAGCTTCAGGTTTATTGCTTTCTCCTTCAGTTTCATATCAAGAGCACCACTTGTATCTTTCCTTCACTTTCATACATAACCTGAAAAAAGAAATATTTTTAGACCTATATAGAAATATCATTAGCATAATATTTGCCTTTTTTGGATATACAGTCTCTGCTAGACCTTGCTTTGCGTTCTACAGCTGCTGCGGCAGATCCTTGTCATGAGGACTTAACTTGTTGTGTGGTAAGCTACTATTTCTTCTGTGCTTGTCAGAAGGTGAAACCTTTAGAGTTAACTGAAACTATTTCATATTTTACCTTTTTGGTGTCAGGAAAGACAATCTTTGCTTAAAAGAATGACGACATTCAAAGATCTTCAGATTAGGGCTTTCTCTGATGGTAATGATCTTGAGGAGCCAGTCAGCATTACTGGTCTTGAGACATTTTCATTGAGCTACAAGGTTTGTGCTTCTGGGATCTTTTTCCCATTCTCATATTATGATTTCATTGTTTACAAGCATGTGATATTCGTAAGGAAACATTTACAATGAATCAATGACCTTGTAAAATGGGTAATATCTACACTGGAGTTGACATTCCACTAGTGGACCTCTTGCATTGTGTTAATGGCGCAACCTTGAATTATGCTGTTTAATAATGTTAGCCTATTGCTACAGGTTCAGTGGCCATTATCTATTGTTATATCAAGAAAAGCGCTGACAAAATACCAGTTATTATTTCGCCTTCTTTTTCATTGTAAACATGTAGAACGTCAGCTTGGTGGGGCCTGGCAAGTGCATCAAGTAAGTGCTGTAATTTTCTCTTGTAGCCTGGTTAGATTTATCTTGCTGTTTTGGGGCTTCTAATCCAGTTTTAAAATACCTTTGCAGGGAATTCGTGGCTTTAATACAAATGGAACTGCCATCTCTAGATCATCTCTTCTTTGCCGTAGCATGCTTAAGTTCATAAGTAGCTTTCTACATTATCTAACATTTGAGGCAGGTTTTACTTTGTCATCTCTTGCTATCCGTCAGTGCTTGTTTATTTTTTTCTTTTCTTATTGGTTTACAAAATTATAAAGCCAGTCCTTTGCTTTTGTAATAATTCTAGCATAGAGATAGAATATTGGTATAATACTGGACACTTACAGTAGTGGAAGATATTTAGGAAAAAGATGAATCCAACACTTGATGCATCTATCTAATCTTTATGTCACTTTGAGGTTTACACTTACTAGTTTCTATTCGTATTCAAAAATGGAAATTTCCATCTTTACGTCTGACCTACCAAAGTTTTCTATGATGATGGTGAGGGCATGCTGCAGGGTGAAGGATTTGGATTTCAACTTTTATTTTTACCCTGAAAAGAAAGATATAACTGTGAGAAGAATATTTAGTCTGGCATAAGATAAATTCATCTTGGTTTCCAGGCCCTTCTTATTCAAAGTCTGGTTTCTCAATAAATTTTGGCTAATTCTTTTTGGAATTGGTTTCAGGTTATTGAACCCAATTGGCATGTGATGCATAGTAGACTTCAGACTGCAAAGAGCATAGATGAGGTATGGCCTTTGATAAATTGTTGAATTCGAATTTCCTTTGGATGAGCTATACCAAAATTGTAGTTATGCAGGTCATGTCATTATTATCAAATTTCCTTACATTATCAGAGATGAATGTGTCTGGCTTGTGTGTCTTACATGGCTCTTTCTGAAACAGGTTATCCAACATCATGATTTCTTCCTCGACAAGTGTTTAAGAGAATGCTTGCTACTTTCACCTGAACTGGTCAAGGTTAGCTTTGATCACCTAGTTCATCAATACTAGTCAAGCTTCGTATTCATTAAAAGGATAGTTATGGGTATGATGTATTTCTTTGTATAAAAATGGAAGAGAGAAAAGTTCAAGATGTTGAACAAGGAGATCTTTAACAGTTGAAATAGCATGAATGACTTCTAGAAAGTCAATAGCGTTCACATAGTTTTTAATATTTTTGTCTTGACGGCCGTATTAAGTTTGATCAAGAGTGAAGGGAACTGAAATTTTCAAATAGTGTAATGGATTTTTTTAAGGTTTTATAAAACCATATTGTAGCGAGGCAATGGTAGTTCATGAGTGGATCAACTTTAAAATGGGAGGGTAAATAACTCTATTTTTAATGTGGCTATTGGATCAAGAATTTAAAAATGGCACTGCTTGAAACCAGTTCCAGCCTTTAATGGTTTAACTCTTAGGCGTTTTTCAAATGCAGAAGGTGGAGAAGTTGAAATCATTGTGCCTGCAGTATGCAGCCGCAACTCAATGGCTAATATCATCTTCTATTGACATTCCCAAGCTGGAGGATTCTTATGATGGTTCTCAAAAGTTAAAGCAATTGAAGTTAAGAAGTCCTTCTCTGGTGCAAAAAGTCATGATTAGAGACGCCACGGTTACTGATTCTATCCTGTAAGTCTGAAGTGCCTACAGAAAATCACACGCACACACATACAAAAAACTCTCACTCATTTACTCTAATACATTTCAGCAAATTTGAGCGGGAATTCAATGCTGAGCTTCAGAGTCTGGGACCAATCTTGAGCAGTGGTTCCCAAGCAGAGCCTTATTTGACTCATCTTGCACAGTTGATTCTTGGTGTTGGAAACGATAAATAAGTTCATATTACTTCTCACTCTTATCTTAAGACGCTCCGGATAAGATGAACTGTGAAGATACTTGCCTTACCGTTTGTCGCAATCAAGTTGCTGTGCGTATCTCATGCCCTGTGTTTTGTTTATTTCTTTCTCTGAGTGCCTCTCTCACCACCCTTCTTTTTTTTTTTTTTTTTTGAAAGAAATGGAAAGTTTAAGTGGAAGCGTGTGCCGAATTTTTCATTGTTAAAATTGACTAGATAGTGTTTTGATGTCGAGTGAAGCCATTTGTTGAGTGACAGAGCTTGAATTTCAGTAGATTTTAGTCGTTTTACCGTCTTCATTTTAGAAATTGTAATTTTTTGTACCCAGATTTGATGTGTAATTGAAAAACTTATATTAAAAATCTCCTCGCAGAGGAAATGAATAGAGTTTCTTTGAATTTGCGATTCGGCCATTCACAAGCTTTGTTGTGGAAATCATATTTCATTGATCCAAAAAACATTGTTAATATATATAATTTTCTCAATATTTAGGTGTGCTATTAAACTGGAAGGTTAACAAAGCTCAAAGGGTAATCGATCAAAATTGCAGTGTTCGAACCTGACGCCTTATCCAGCATGTTGTAGCAGTTTTAAAATGGTTTATTCTGGCCATTTACACTTTGATAGAGTAATTTTGTAATTAGAAGGCAAGCTTTTGTGCCAACCCACATGATGAAATGTGTAGTTGTTTACTTCTAATACAGGTATGTTAAGGCTTGCTTTCTGCAGAAATCCTTAAATGCTTCCAGTTTTGTACACAGCGGATGCCAACAGCAGAGGAATGGAGAAGCTATACACCGGAAAGTGGATGATCGGGTTCATCTCATATGCTCCGATGAGACCTCTGCAATTCTGCAAAACATAAAGCAGACTCAGAATCAAAAAAGAAAGAGTAAGTTTCAACATGCTTGAAGGTTAAAATCACTTACAATCAAGTGCTTCCATAAAAGCGCCAAGCAAGAAGCCAAGAGAATTTTCCGAATCCATCGATCTCTAATATAGAACTTGGCTTTTCGATTTCCTTGGTATTCATAGTTTTGATGTCCTTCAATCCTCTCGCCATAATCATCTTCTTTCTTCCCTGAAAGTGATAGAATGTGTTCCCGGTAGATCCCTTTCTCGGCAGCCAATGCCGTGCAAACCAAAATCATTGGTGAAACCACAAACAACAGATGGGGAAGAACCACCACTATTATATCTGGAGAACCAATATATTCATCTCTTTTTCCATTGTTAAAACTCTTCACCACCCACCCTTTATAAGTCATATATCCCTTTTCGCCGCCATCGGTTAAAACGTATCCAACCAACCATGGACATAGCACAAGGTACAATAAGTATCCCAAAGAACCAAAATATACAATGGGAATCTTGCTCAGCTCTTGTAGAACCCATGCCATGCCATTGATAAACCCTTTGTTGGTGATGAAATTTTTGTACGTGTACTGATTCTTTGAGAAAATGAGGAGCGCTTTCGGAAAAAGAAGAATGAAGAACAGGAAGTGGAGAGCAAACCAGAGAACCGGATAGTACAAGTTAACCCATTGGCATCCCATCACATAAAACTCCTTCCATGTCCATGAGAACTTAGAGCTAAAACCGTTTACAGAAAAGGGTCTTAATTCGCTTAAAGTTGACCTACCTGACATGTCAGTTGCTTCGATTTGTAGCCAGAACCTATCAGGAGACCGACTCTGGAAGGCTTTGTAGTTCCATGGTACAAAGTAAAGATCTCCCCGGGAGGAGTTACCTGCCTTTTTTCTCATTAATTCCTCCATAACCAGTTCGAAATTCCCAGACCTTGAGTCGTAGACCTTTGCCACAACTGATAGAATAGGGGAAGTTGAAAAGACTAGAGCTCTGATAGTCTCATACGATGAAGGAAGCATATGTTGACATTCATAGTTCTGATGTGATGACAATCGTGACATGAAGCGCGAGTCTAAAGGAAACGTGGGCATTAGAATGATATTTTTCATTCCGGACTTAAAGTCGATATCAACATATGAAACATGACCCCTATCAACAGCCAAAATTCTCACGGCTCTACTCTTCCTCCAGTCACCCATTTCCCATTCCCAGAATTCTTCAACAGCTAATGCGCCGGATGAACAATTCTTGTTACTTTCATAAGGTAATTGGTGCACGTTGAACTGCAAAAACTTCTCTGAAAGCAGAAAGCGATCATTCAACTGATGGTGCCGCTTCAGATTCTTACCAAATCTCACATGGAGATGCCCACATAGATAGGCTGATAGGGAATGCTTGAGAAATATATCCCTTAGGCTCCTCCCAGAATGTGTTGACGCTGAATATGAAATCGGGAAATGCCCAAAAGAAATCTTTGTCACTGGTTTTGTCGGCTGAGAATTCCACTGAGATAGTTCTGAGTCTATTTCAGTCAACAGTTTGTCAGTTGGATGCCCAAAGACGTTAGTTGGACTCCGTAAACCAATCGACATTGTGCTATCAAACCCAACAAACAGATGTTTCCACTCATTAGTCTGGATAGCAAAGCACAAACATGTAAGATGATGAAAAAATGAACAGGTTTATATGATTATCATTTAGTGTTGACACTCATTGGACACAGCAAAATAACAGGAAGTGTAAAACTGGAGAATCCTAAGGTCGAATTAAGGTTGGAAATTCTATTTAAAACCATGAACAGAGTGTAAAAAATGGATAGAATGAAAGTTTCTGAAGATGATGACTTGCCTGAATGGTGACACTATTGACATTCTTCCTTCTTCCCAACTGTGCATTGATGCTATACTTCGAATAGTAATCGAGGGCACCATCGACAACTGGTACACCGAAATTATCATGATTCCCTCTAAGATCATAGAAAATGCTCTTATCGAGTCCACTCCTTGTTATAACATCCTCCATTACCTTCTGGTACTCCACCCATTCCGCCTCATCTTGCTTCGATGTTAGATAGTCCTTACTTTTCGCCTCTGTTGAGAGAAAAATGAATCAGCCTGATCAGAGCTGTACAATAATTTAATTGCAGTTTTTGTCTTTGCAATATCACATTGTATCAAAACTAATCCTTCCAGCATTCATATTTCTACGATTTCAATTCGAGTCCATTTTGTCAGGGGAATTTTAACAAACATATGCATTGCAAAATCTCCTGAATCAGCACCAACATTCCATCAACAACTCTTTATTCACCAATACAAACTTTACACCACAATTTCTTTGATCATATTTTCACATAAACCAAACCAATCCATAGGAATGCATTTAACAGACTCAAACATGAAATCCATAACCAACCACAGAAAAATCCATTATAAGACAACCTGTGAGAGTGAGATCACCATCTTTTGACACAAACATTAATTCACAAAATTCAACACAAAGATCCAAATTTTTACACCAATTACATTACAAATATTACCACATTTCATACATTTGACTCCAAGAACCCCATGAAATTCATAAACACCCACCAAGCTAACATCAAGTAACATGAAAAGAACAAATACATATACAAGGAGAGAGGCTTCATCAAAAAGAATAACCAATCCAATCACATCACAAAATGAGCAAAATTTATGGATCACGCGTTATATGTTATTAAAATACCCACCAGGCCAAAAGTAAATAAAAAGGAAAAAAGAGAAAAACCTGTGAGATCACCAGTGATGAGGACAAGAGAGGGATTGATGATGGAGAGAACAGGGCCAACAATGGCCTTAAAATCCGAAGCTCTATCAGGGTGATGCACACTCAAGTGAAGATCAGAGAGTTGCACCACCCATATCACCGATTCAGGCCCACCTTTCACTTCAATCACTCTCCCATTCGCTTTTGAATTTGAAGAAGAATGTTGTTGTTGGTGGTGGTGGTGGAGGTGGTGTTGTGCATGATGTTGTGCAGTTTTTGCACGGAGAGTGGAGGGTTTTGTGAAGAGTAAAAGCAAAAAAATGAGAATGCCCATTTGGCCTTTTAACTGTCAGAAATATTTTTGTTGTATTAACGAAAACACAAGAGTTTCCAAAGTACGAAAAAACTGTAATACGAAAATTCGGTTAGTCTACGCCTCTACGGGGTTGTTTCAGAAAAAATAGCCAAGTTTTGAGGGCTGTTGCAAAATAAAATTTCTCCATTTTCAATAATTTTACATACATAATTTTAATTTAAATATTTACAACTATTTATTTTCTTCTACGAAGGGCTATTAACGAGCCGAGCCGAGCCAAGTTTTTGACTTAACGAGCTTGGCTCGTAAAAAGAAAAAAGGATTTGAGCCAAATCCGAGTCGAGCCAAGCTTCTAATTTCCTGACTGGACTCGACTCGTAAAGAAAGAAAAAAAATCGGAGTTAGCTCGTGGCTCACGAACCAGTAAAAAATATGCAATTTTTTTTTCAAAATTTGGTGCAGCTTTTCTCATCCCCATTTATTATTCTTTCTTTTCTCCTCTCTCTCATTTATTACTCTCTCTTTCACTTCTTTCTTCTCTAATTTACAATAATGTTATGCTTACTAAGGAACTTACTAACCATCTTACTATCCTTTGTAAATATAAATATGTACGAGTATCATAAGCATAGTACGCGGGTACCATATGTAATTTTAATAAAGTGAGCAAGTAGTTAGTAAGTTCGTGAGTAAGCATAACATTATGCTTTAATTTATTATTAATTTGCCTTATTTCTCTCTCCAGACTCCAATGGCAATGGCCAATGGTTCACGTTTCTGTTTTTTTTTTTTTTTTTTTTTTTTTTTTTCCCTTTCTCCCTGTTTCCCTTGCTCTCTTCGGTCTCCACAACTCCGAAGTTATTCTCTTCCCCTTCTCTTTTGTTACTTATTAGTTATTACTCTTTGCCTTCTCTTATTTTCTCTCTCTCTAATGACGCCTGTTTCTCTTATTTTCTCTTTCTTTCCTTCTTTCTCCTTTTTTCTTATTTTCTCTTTCTTTCTTTCATTCTTTCTCCTTGTTTCCCGGGCACTCTCCAGTCTCCACCAACTCTGATTTCTTTCTTTATTTTTTCTCCTTGTTTTCCTGCACTCTCCACGAAATCTGACGCCTATTGCCTAAAATGGTTTGGTTTAGTTTGGTTTTAGGGGAAAGGATTTTAGTCACGTTTTTAGGGATTTTAACATCCGGGTGTTCTTTGTCATTTTTGCAAACTTTTTGTTTTAAAATTTTAGTTTAATCCCTTATACTTAATAAAACCCCTAAAACACCCCTAATAATTTGAGCTTGACTCGAACTTGGCTCGCGAGCCTAACGAGCCGAGTTGAGGCAAGCTCGAACTCAGCTCGTGCTCTCTCACGAATCGAGCCGAGCTGGCTCGATTCCAGACGAGGCAAGCCATTAACGAGCAGTACTCAAGCCAAGCCGAGTCGGCTCGCGAGCGGGTCGCCTGGTTGAACAGCCCTACTTCTACGGGACGGATGTATGCATATATGGTTTTAAGTGGGACAAACATATCATTTAATTAGCATGCTCATCTACGCATATGATTGACTTTTAAAACGCTACAGAGCACGGTCGAGCATATTATCTAATACTGTTCAATTAACAATATTATTGAACATCATCTTACGTGGTTGACAGTGATGTCTAGTATGCTAGTAAGTGTAATGAAAATATCTATTTATAGCACGTTCATCTATTAAATGGGTGGTGAGTTTTTAAACGCTATGCAGCACCATCGAATAAATTATCTAATGTTATTCAATTAATGACATTTTGTAGCATCATCTTGTGTCATCAAGAGTGTTATTTACCTATGATCGGTAATTATTTATTGATAAAAATTTCATGAATGTGTCAACATTTTTAAATTGGTTATTAATTATTTTTTTAACTCTCATAAATTTTTTTCAATAATATTTTGAAATTATATGCATATAAGATAATATTTTTAGCTTACTTATTTTTTTTTTAACACAAATATTATATTAACAATAATTTTTTCATTATATTTCAATACAATTTAGGTTTAGGTTTTTATTATATTTTCGTATAATTAGGTCTTGTTCATATTTTCCCTGAGAATGAGTTTTTGGTTCAATAAAATTAACTCCCAAAATATTACACAAAATCACTTACCACAAACACAAACAAAAGCACTTCTCAAATCATACACGGCCTTATCTTGTGCCATGTCAGCACATGGAAGGCCTAAGAGTTTCCATTACTTGCCACGTAGATGCCACGCTGGATATTACCCCCATTAATTTTTTTTTTTTTTTTTTTTTCTGCAATTGCTATCCATAACTCATCTCTCTCTCTCTCGTGTTACTTCAATCTCCAGCTTCCCTTTGATTCAAGGTTAGTTTTTCAAACTTGACTTCAATTTCATAAAAAACCAGTAGAAGTAGAATCTTTAAGCTTTGTAAAATGTAAGAAATTTAGCCTAGCAATCAATTCTTTCATCAGTATATGNATAATATTTTTAGCTTACTTATTTTTTTTTTAACACAAATATTATATTAACAATAATTTTTTCATTATTTTTCAATACAATTTAGGTTTAGGTTTTTATAATATTTTCGTATAATTAGGTCTTGTTCATATTTTCCCTGAGAATGAGTTTTTGGTTCAATAAAATTAACTCCCAAAATATTACACAAAATCACTTACCACAAACACAAACAAAAGCACTTCTTAAATCATACACACCCTTATCTTGTGCCATGTCAGCACATGGAAGGCCTAAGAGTTTCCATTACTTGCCACGTAGATGCCACGCTGGATATTACCCCCATTAATTTTTTTTTTTTTTTTTTTTTCTGCAATTGCTATCCATAACTCATCTCTCTCTCTCTCGTGTTACTTCAATCTCCAGCTTCCCTTTGATTCAAGGTTAGTTTTTCAAACTTGACTTCAATTTCATAAAAAACCAGTAGAAGTAGAATCTTTAAGCTTTGTAAAATGTAAGAAATTTAGCCTAGCAATCAATTCTTTCATCAGTATATGATGACACGCATGATGTTTTTACTCGCTTCATGGGCTTAAATCAAGATCTTATGATGTGGGTTATCATTAGTTTTTGTGAAAAATCAAGTCTTTTATAATGAGGGTATCAATAGTTTATGTGAAAAAACAAGATTTCATGATGTGGGTATCATTAGTTCGTGTGAAAAGAGCCAAAGACCTAGTTTTTTTTCTTAATTTTAAGCAAAAAATGGTATAGAATCATTTTTTTCTTTCTGAATGTTGTTTGATAATTGCTAGCTGATCAATGTTGTGGTTTGAGGAATTTTTAGATTAAATATTGGTGAAACTAAGGATTGTGTATAGTTTTGTGGTTTGATCTTATTATGTTTAGTTTTTGTGGTGGAATTGAGTTCTTACTTTGTTCTTTGTATTGTTTTCAAGTGTGTTTGGTTGTTCGGTGATGGCTTGTCGCGTGGGAGGGATTCGACTGCAGTCGAGTTTAGTGATACCGGAGAGTGATGTCTCTGAAGGTTCTTGTATAATGCTTGCAACTTGTAGAAATCAGAAGAGGAAAAATGAACCGAGTACCAGTGGAAGAGCTTCAAGGATTGGTATGAAGTTTACTTCTTTTTCAAAAAGGAGGTACAATTTGAACTTTGCCGTTTCAATTGCTTTAGAGATTCTTTTGTTCCATGGATCCCTCTTCATGAATTAGTCTTTTTAGAGTTGAGTTATTGAGAGACAATTCTTTGACAAACTTCGGACACAGTAAAAGACTTATGTGGCTTTATGATAATGCTTCTTCTATTCAATATTATTGTCATTACGGAGACATCTCATATGGTTTTGGGGTTTATTGTACTTAACTTCATCATAAGGTTGACGTTAATCACGGCTAAAAATTTCGATGAATCACTTCTTGTCAAATACTAAGACTACTAGTTCAACCAGTTTCAAACTTGACTGCATATTTATTCATTTTTGGGGCTAGTTACATATCATTTGCATTCTTTTGCCGATTTTTGTACATACTGCTGAAAATTTTTCCAATTTAAATGATTCCCATACAATTTCTCAACATGATTGCGGGAATATTATGATTTCTATAAGTGACCTCGTTTCTATTCCATTGTGGTGATTTGCTTGGTACATATGATGTTGATGCCTTTTGAGTTTTGAGCATGCATTTGTTTTCTTTTTGTCAAAACAGTTTTCAGACAAGAAGACGTGGTTGGAAAATAGCATTCGCCTTGGACACAGGTGGGATATCCGGGAATGGTGGACAAGAGAGCCTTAATGGCGACACTTCTGGTCTTGGTGGCACTAGATTGGGTCGGATAGTGAGTGCTGGTGGCAGACTGCTACTGGAGAAACTCAACATGGCAAGAAAGAACTTTCCCATGAAGATATTTCTCCTTCTATTAGGTTTCTACACAGCAAATGCACTGGCTACAATCCTTGGTCAGACAGGTGACTGGGATGTACTAGTTGCTGGTATTGTGGTTGCTGCCATTGAGGGCATCGGTATGCTTATGTACAGAAAGCGTCCTTCCTCATCAACATCAACTGGGAGGTTGAAGTCTTTTGTCATTCTTATGAACTATTGGAAGGCGGGTGTGATCTTAGGCCTCTTTGTCGACGCTTTCAAGTTAGGAAGTTAATTTGCTTAGATATTTATGTATGTGCATTAGCCACACTTTCATTCTAATAAAATCCCTGCTGTGTAGCCAAATTTGATTGAATAGTTTACTCAAACTAGATGCAATGTAAAATAACCCTTTGTCAAAATGTAATTTATCAAGTGATCCATGGGAAGTTGGCCGTACGGTTAAGCCTGTGGTTTGTTCCCATAAAATCTAGGATTCCGAAGAAAATGTGATTTATCAAGTTAGGTCTTCCAGTATCTGGATGGAATGGTGTTTTGATTATTGGTTAAAGAAGATGCAATAAAATAAATCCTTGAAGAACAGATGTTTCTGGGTTTGAATCAGAAAACACAAAATCAATTTTCTGAAAAGATTTCTTAACGCCCCCATAGCTTTCTCATTTAATGTTATTTTCAGGTTTTTGTTTTAGCTGATATTCATCCACACAACCACAAGCACAACTATAGCAAATATGTAAGTGTATTCAAATAAAAGCAGCACCTAAATTTCATTCAAAATAGCTTCCTTTTGATTTGAATAGCTTTAACATTTACCAATTCTGTGAATTTCATGCCAGGGGAAGACAAATATGTAACCTATTCATGAGAAGTCATGACCTCCTACACAACTACCGATATCATTATATTACACATTTAGCCTATGCCTCCGGTTTTCTCTGTACTACACCTGCATTACCACTTGAAACGCTGATGTGGTATACCATAACTGGTAGCCACAGAAGTTCAGTGAAGCATACCATACCCAACAATTATCTAATCTGAATCATAAAGATGCAGCAACTGGTATCATCAGACTATTGCTTCGTCCAATGTATCAAATATACAAACACCTCGCTGAAGGGCTGGCTCCTGAGAAAAATGCGAAGGAAAATAGAAACAGATAATATTAGAATTGAACTTCACAGATTAATTTCTAAAACAAAGAAATTATAAATATTTCGCATTACAGTGGTGAGACTATCAGGCAATCTGTTACGCTTTCCCTTCAGATTCGATCATATTTACACTGTCTACTATGTACTGAATCTTTTTAGAGAGGCCCTGAGTGTGCTCCTCAATGTGATTGAATAGAAGGTCAATGCATCTTTTAAGTGATGTAGATCGCTTTTTCTCGACCAACAGCTCTTGAGTTAGCTTATGAATTCTCATGTCTTCGACCTGAAACAAACATAGCAGGCAAAAAGTCTAACATGGGTGATACTAGTGAATTACTGATAGCACAAAAATATCCAACATATCATATAACCAATATTCACAACGCGAATCAAGAAAAACAGCTGGGACCAGAACTAACTGCTATTTGATTACAAAGCAGTGTCTTCTGAGCCTGGCCGCCGGCTAGTAAATGAGTGTGTTCCTTCACAAACTTTGTAACAACCCAGTTTCCAGAGCGCACTTTCCTTACTGAAAGCATTGCTTTGCAACCGACCCTAGTGGGAGCCCGTGCCCTTATATTCTTCACTTCATGCCTAGAAGGTTTTCTGTAACCCTCTTTATTACATACAATGGCTCGAGAAATAACAGACCCATCACGTTTAGAACGAGTATTATAGTGTATGCGGGTAATGAAACCCAAACGCATTCCATACGCACTATAGAATGCATGGGCAGCAGCTTCTGATTCAAATTCCTGACCCACGAATGGTTCGTCACCATTAACTGCAGCTAACTGCACTCCAGAAGAACTTGGAGTCATTTTCTCAAAATTTTCATGCTGAGAGACGATTTCAGCTGAACTTCCGCTCACTGAGCTATCATTACTTCGCTGAAGCTCATTATCAGTTGAATTATTGAACTCCTCATCATGAGCATCATTACCATTTTCCTCAAGCTGAATGTCAAAAGTTTGTTTGGAATCCACTGTGATATAAAAGTTCAGCAATATTACTTTCATCTTCATACTCAATATCATACAAACAAAAAACAAGATAAGATGATAATCTACATAGTCAAACACCTCACCATTATCTAGCTTTGTCACTTTACCAGATGTATCATTAAACTCCTTATCATGAATGCCATTATCATCTTCCTCAAGCTGAATATCTTGACCCACTCCTGGATCCACTGCAACATGAAAATCGTGCATTATCACTTCCACTGTAACATGTTCACCACTTGAAACGCCAGACGGCAACATATATAGCAAGAAATAAGCAAACAAATTTTTGAAACAGAAAATGAGCTCCAGCCATTTGAAGAAAATTTTCAGCGACGTATAATAGATAGCCTCATTTATTCCAGAACAAATCATGCTCTGCTCTGGAGATCAAGTACGCTAGCAATATGCACCCTAACAATTTCCAGTAAATCTCAGTCTTTGATAATGCAAACCCATTTCTTTCACATAAAAAAATTATAATACATATATAGTTTTCTAAAAATATGAAAAAAATTAAGGCTTTTTTATATAACTTGGACTAGATTTCTTTTTGAAAATTTTCTACCAAACACATTTATACATCTTTTTTCTTACTAAGATTTCTAGTCATAAAACAAACATACTGTTAAACACGCGTTGATTTCTACCCAAATCTATTAACTCACAGCTCTAATCTTTCTAAAATAGTTTTACAAACTTCCATCACAAGACATGAAAATCCAATCAAACCAAAGCACTATGCTACTGATCTGTAAACATCACTAAATCTGTTGCAGTGATAAAATGGTTATATTTATGTTACTGAAACGACGTTATACCATACAAAAAACAGTTGATCCTGATTCCTGTTACCCTTACCAGGATTGTACTCCCCGTAGCGTAACAATTCTCTTTATTCAAATTTATACGCATAAATTGGTTCTTTAAGCATTTCATTGAAATTAAATCTACAACCAAACAATCTTACATAAAAATTTAAAAAAAAAAAAAAAAAAAAAATCAGCCGAAAAACATAACTAAGCCTGTTACAATGTTAAAATTGTAACATTTGTATGATACTAATATCACGTTGTATGTTACCAAAAACCATTAATTCCTGTACCTTTACCGGGATTACCCTCCCGGTAACGTAACAATTCTCTCCATTCAAATTTATACACATAAAAATTGGTTCTTTAAGCATTTCATTTCAATAAAATTCACAACAAAACATCTAGAAAAATTATTATTTTTTACTTTCAGCAGGCAATGCCAGTGATCATCAGCCAAGTACAATAAACTTAATAATAAAAATATCCATTTCTTGATATAAAATAAGAAAACCCTGCAAAATTATTGATCATAACATAGAAAAACAATGCAATTAACGTGAAATTTTCAACAGAAAATTAAAACCCAGAAAATAAAATTAAAGAATTCAACAAAGGAGACTGTGAAACTCACTGGGCTGTCGCAGAAACCAGCAATGAAGTCCCCCAGAGAGATTTTTTCTGTTTGGTTAATGGGAAAAATATTTGAGAAAATGGGGTGTTTCACTTTCTGTCAAATAAGTCAGTTACGGAGGCAGTTGGTGGCAAAATATGGGCCGTCGGATTTGATTCACGAGTTTTAGTGGAGAGAGCAATTTTGATGGCCCAAATTCTTTTGTGAATATTTCGTTTAAGTACTTGATAATATGCTAGTTGGATTTAATTGTGTATTTATTTATTTTTTAATTATAAATTTTTTAATTTATAATTAAAAAATAAATAAATAGATAGTAAAATAAATTAAAAGTAAAATTATGATAAAGATTATTTTATGATAATAAATTAAAATTATGAGTATATAGACTATTGTTAAGTGTACAAAATAACTAATTAACCGACCTCTAAGTGGTTGAGTGATTTGATAAGAGACATTAGTATAATACTCAATTTTGAATTCGAATCCCTTTTGGGTATTAATAGGGTGGCCACTGAGGTTTGATAGGTTGTTAACTTCAAAGTCTCATGAAAGTGTTGAGTAAGCTAAGCTATCCGGACCCATTGATAACAAAAAAAAAAAAAAAAAAAAAAAAAAGAAGAAGAATTCAGATTAAGTGGTGATATCACCATGTTAATCTCGTTTGAGTGATATTTTTTGTAAAAGTAAAATATTACTAAATAGTAAAAAAAAAAATATTGAGATGTGTTATTTAAAAAAATTATAATAAATTATGGTGATTTCTCTTAAATTTACTTGATGGTAATAATTATATTATAAATTGATTTGATTATTATCCTCCTATATATATAAGAATTTTGAAATATTCATGTAGTTTAATCATTAGATAAATGATTAATTAACTTTTTTAATAAATAAAAATTCCTCTTTATCCAAATAGCAAAAAAAAATTTAAAAGAATTAGTAAATCAGTATTTTTAGAAGGAAAAGAAATCAACTTATGAAACAATATTATTTTTCTAAATTCTTAATTCAAATCAAATAAATCTAAATTATAATTAATTTAATTTATTTTTTTTTCTCTTTGTTTTTTTTTCCTAATACATATTATTTATTTATTTATTCATCAAATTAAAATTTTATTTAATGGGTAACTTTCATATACATCCATTGTGTTAAGAAAGTTTAAAAACCGACCCCAATGTCAATAATATGTTACTATTCGGTCTACTCCTTCCGATTCATTTATGTAATATACAATTACAAAAATTTAATACCCATTTTACCCCTTTAATCCAAATTACAATATATCTCATCTAACTACCCATTTTTCATTCATGCATTTGATATTTATAATTAATGAATCTCAAGTAAAAATACATCGTAGCATTCAATGAAAACTCCGGTTTCTTTTTTTGTTTTTTTAAATTGGATATTCAGACTAGTTTGTACGTGCTTCGATTGATCTCTGTGAGTGATTAGTACAACATACATACCTTATAGACTTGGAATTACAATTAAAGGTAAGGCCGGAGATTTTAAAATTGTAAAAAAAAAAAAAAAAAAAAGGTAGTTCTACCCCAATCTTTGTATCATAACTATGTTATTGAAAATTACAAAGCCTGAAGTTACAAAATTAAAAGTTTCCGAGGATCAATATTTTGTCACCCTGAAGTTCCCAAAATTCATAGCAAGGAATATATCTTGAGAGAATTTATATATCATATTATATCCAGTATAATATAATATATAATTCTCTCTGTAATTAATTGATTAATTCCCTTGCTATTGATCGAACTTCAGCCATATTGACCCTTTAATTTCATCAAATTAAAACTTGTTAGACTAAAAACAAAAACAAAAATGAAAAATTAGCAAATCAGTTTTGTATACATCATCTTCACCATCTTCTCCGAGCCATCACCTCAATGGGTTTAAGTGTCATTCCACACTGTAAAAGTTGGAGCTCCATGGCACAACGCCATCGTACTCGTCCTCGGCGCCAGCGTGGGAACCGCCGTTGGCACCCAGTTGTTGCATTGGCTTCCTCCTGATGATTGTTGATGAGATATATAATACAAATTGTTATCGTTTTCACTGAAACTTCCATGATCGTTTGCGATAACTGTCCCCATTGGAATCACGTTCACATCCCCTCCATTGTTGCTGTAAATCACCGAGTTCGAACCCGAGCTGTGTTCCAATGAAGATTGATCCATGTTCATGAGGTTGTGTAAAACGGACGGCTGAAAGAAATTGTGGGTGCCTCCCAGTTGAAGCTGGTGGTGAAGCTCCGCGTCTTGCTCCTGCTTGCACCAGAGCCGCTGGCCGTATGGGAACTGACCATGCATGGAGAAGTTGGAGTTAGGGTTTTGATGATGAGGTTGTTGGAATGCTAGTGTTTGCCAGTTTTGGAGGTGGTGGGCTGAGGTTGATGAGGCATAAGGGTTGAGGTTTGAAGTTAGGATATTGTCATGGTCGTCGGACAATGTTCTCTGGCCACCACCGCCTCCACCGCCGTCGAGGGTCATTTCGTTAGCCTGGTCGACATCTTTGAGGCGCTTGGCTGCGCCACCAATGGGTAATGTGCTGCTCTCGAGGATGCTATTCACGTCATATCGGCTCATGTCGAAGTTTGTTACTGCATTCAGTCCACGGAATTTGATGGCTGCTATGTCATAGGCCTCTGCCGCCTCCTCTTGTGTGCCTGAAAGAGAAAAACGTTAAGGCATGAGAAGTAATACAGTGATTCCATAGTAATGGATATTTTGGGTGCAAGATTTGAAGATGCATGAGAACAAAAACTTAATAGTATAAAGAATTATTAATTTAATTTAAAAAAAGTAGAAATTAAATAAATAATTAAACAAAACTTACTGAAAGTGCCCAAGTAAAGGTCTTTGTTCCCCGCAACTCTCCCAATTCTTGCCTGCCATCTTCCATGCTGATGATGCCTATTACCAGTCACCCCAAAATTGCAAGCAAAAGTATAGACAATTTTAATATTCCTTTGCCTCAAAAACAACTCCAAAATCCCACAATCTAAGTATATTGAAACCCACTAAATTAAAACTATATATTATAAAATAAAATCATCATATTCTATATGATATTTAAGCATACATGATACACATGCATTCCCCTAATTCTTTTAAAATTAATATGAACAGTATTCGAACATAAATTTTCTTTAAATTTCGATCGTTCGATTGATATTTTACCTTGTTACACCACGATAAATCGATGCACCCCGAGAAAATCCACTACTCTTCCTATATTAAGTAAAATAACACATAGAATTTCACGAAATTAGTTAATATAATTTACATGACTAATTATGAGATTAAAAGAGTAGAATAATTTAATTTAAACTTATACCTTCGTAGAGAAGCAACATACTCTTGCCTAGTCATATGCTTCATTTCTTCTAACTCTTTCTCGTAGTTGCTAATCTGAAATTATAATAATTTATCACTAATTAATTATAATTAGAAAACAAAACCCCATATTAAACGGCGAAATCAATTGGAAATAAAATTAATCTACTGTAACCAGACATATCCCCGTTAATGGGGATGAACAGCAACACTTGTAATTTTCAAGTATTAATATAATACTCTCTCCATTAAGTGCATGTCAATGGCAGTCCCAACAGATTGATTAATTAATTAAAAATACACAATTAATTCTTGAGTTAATTAACTTACTGGGAAATTTGTTGTGGTAGTGGTACCCCAATATTTCAATGCCGCTAAATCATAAGCTCTTGCAGCCTTTTCTTCTTTGTCATAGCCTCCTATAATTATTATCATACAGTTAAAAACAAAAGGCAATATTTTTTTTTCAAATAATTGATCAATCAATCAATCAATCAATTATTTTGAAGATTCCTCTCCTTTAACATATATAGAAACTTACCCAAATAGACTGCAATAAATGAATAATGAAGAACCCCCAACAAGAATCAGATTGTGTTCAACATGTGTTCAAAGAAATGGAAACACAAAAGTTAGAAATACGAAAAATATAAATGGCTAAATTTGAAATTAATTTATTAATAGATTCAATATATAAATAAATAAAATGAATAAAAATAAAAATACCTTGTCTTCCCTTTCTAGTTTGGCCTTCTCTTCTACAACTATTGTCCCATAGATGAGCTTCATATCTCCCAGTCCATCTATGCCTGTTAACACAAAACCCTAAAATCAATATCACACATAAAATTAAATATTAGCCCTCAAAAAACTAAACAATAAAACCCAAAAAAAAAAAAAAAATATGTATATTTTATTATTTTGATTTATTGATTAAATTTAACCTTGTGACTCCTCGGTATATTGAAGTCCTTTGCCCAAAAGTGTCAATAGATTTTCTTGGCACCGCTTCAATAGCGCCCACTTGGCCATCAAGAACTCCTCCTCCGGTTGCCGTTGTTGTTGTTGCCGCCGTTGAAGATGGCTTCTGTTGCTTGTTGTTATCAGAAGAAGAGCTATCTCCGCCGCTGCCATTGTTCAGAAGCGGCAAAGGAGAGCCGGATTGCGAGCCGGTGCTCATCGAAAGCGACAAGCTTTGCGCAGAACCGCCGCCATTGTTGTTGTTCTTGGAGTCGGTTTGAGTCGGTGCTGGTTGGTTTCTCAGCCAAGTTTTGATCATTGACAACCCAATGGAGCTGTTGTTGTTTGTGTTGGCAGTTTCGGTTCCGGTTCCGGTGTTGTTGTTTGTTCTTGTTGCATTGTTATTATTTGATGTGTCGTCTGAGGGAAGTTGCAGAGAGCAGTTGGGAAAGATAAAGTCGCCGGCGGCGGCGGTGTACATGGCGTTGCATCCGTGGAGTTTTTGTTCATGATCCGCAAAAGAGTGGCCTCCCAGGAAGTTTTCAAGCTTCGGCTCTTGGGTTTGATCGAGGTTTTGAGTATTATTGCATGAAGAACCCATCAGCATGGAGAGCTCGGAACCCTTCATATTATTCCATTCTGCAGAAAACCAAAAACCAAAAATATATATATATATTTAAAAGAAAAAAAAATGAAAGTGTTTTGCTTTTATTTTGTTTTTATTGTTTTTGATTTGGTTAGGGTTTAAGGAGGAGGAGTGTTTATTTTCGTACCTTGGGGGTGATTGTTGCGGTTGAAGGCTTCAAGGATGCCAAAGGGGGCAGGGAGGTTGAGAGAGGGGCCAGAGGAGTCATGGGAAGAGAGATCAAAGCACTCACCGGAGAGTTCATCGGAGTTGAAACCAAGGCGGGGGACAGAGTTTTGAGAGTGATGATCTTCATGATGTGAAGAAGGGAGTTCTTGAGGGGAGAGAGAGAACCCTAACCAGTTGTTCATATTTGTCATCTAAATAAAAATAAAAATATCTGATCAAGCTCAAGAACTATAAATTAGTACATGCATGAACTAGAGGAAGAAGAAACCATTGGAGAAAAAATGAACCTGGAAGAAGAAGAAGAAGAGGAAAGGTCAAGAAATGGAAGAGAAAAAAGAAGAGATTTATATAAACTTTCTCCTTCTTTGGTTCTTTCTCTCTCTCTCTCTCTCTCTCTTTCATGAATAAATATCATAATATAAATAATAAATGGGGGCAGCCCTAAAACTTAAGGGCACTTAACCTTAAGAAAGGATACAACAAAATCTTCTGTTTTGAAATCTAAAATATGCTTAATTACTAAGTCTAAGATTACAATAAAAAGGTACACGAGGAGCATTAATTAAAATAGGGGGCTTGCTGTGGGATTATTATATGCTGATAGATTTAGTGTAAAAGCTCATTTGTCTTGCAATCCAAAACTAGCAAAGGCAAGTTGAGCTTATCTTCAATATGCCTTTGATGGTATATTTATATTAATATTAATTTACTTTATGATAGGAGATTATAAGGCCAAACACATGGGGTCTTAACCCTTAACAACATGTGGGGTTTCGTATACTCAAAACAATCTTAAAGTATATATTCACTCTTTGACCCTTCCAATACTTCAGTCCAAAGATATACAAAGAACCCTTAATTTTATCCTCTAATATAATACGGCATAATATTTTCCAAAATTTTAAAATTTGAACTACAGAAGGGGTTAAAACTTGAAAATGTTACAAGATTAAAGTTCATTATGTAACTTCTAACTCGTATTGTCACTTCTTACAATGGAAAAAAGATCAATTTTTTAGATCAATTATTGAGTAAACGACTTTTTACCACCCAAATAATGATTTATTGACACTTTTCCACTCACAGGCTTTTAAAATACTTCTTTATTACTCAAATTTATATTCCGGTGATGAATAGTTAGCAAACTTGGTTCAGACTATTGACGTTTTTGAAGAGGAGAGACCAATAAATCTTTTGGTGGTAGAAGGTTGGACTTTGGTGATTGGGATTGATCGGAATTTGACTTGGGAGGGTAAGCTGTGCAAACTCTAATCTCTCATTGTCAATGATTGGCGGGGTCAACGAGAATAGAGTTTGAAGGATTTTGGTGAGTGATGATTAAAGAAGAGAATGAATAAATGATCTAAAAATACATTTTTAGATATTCCTCAATGTCTTAGTTATTCAAGAAAAATAAAAGGTAGATGGACAAGCATATGCTTCCGAAAGAAATAAAAAAAAAATTCTCGAAATCTTACCAGATTCGTTTACTTTTTCTAATTTGATAGATAGTTCAAATCATAAGAAAATTAGAATATAAAGTATGTCTATCTATTCAAATAATTTTATATTAACCTTAATACCTTATAGATATTTACTTGGGATAACATTATCATACCTAGTATTTGTTTTGATTCTACTTGCAATAACAATGATCATCAAATCTCTTTAATAATAGTACCTAAATTCTAACCAAATCTTTATCTTTCTCTCTCTCTCTCGGATTGATGATGAAAAGTTCTTCTCTTTCGAAAATTTAAATAGAAAATACACTCTAGCTTTGCTGTAGAACACCTGTAGAAGATGATGATACATAATCTGACAAACGTGTGTGACAAAAAACCCACACGCAGCAACCCCTCTCCACACCCATTTATTCATCCCCAGTTGGACATAAGTCTTTTCCCTGTCAGTCTAATCTGCTCCTACCATTCCTCTTTTCATTGCTCTCTCTCTCCCTCTCTTTCATACTACAAATTATTTAAAATATATACAAAGGGATATCCAAACCCCTTGAATTGTAATATCTATATAAACCCCATTTCGTTTCAGAGATCACTCTAAACCCCTTATCATATCATTTGTCGCATAAGAGGTTATGCTAATACCCTCTACTAGTAAAACCAGTGAAAAAGAAGTAACGTCGTCCGGCAAACGGTAGGAGGTTTAAAGCAATATCCGAAACAAAAGGGGTTCATTAATAAAAAGCATACCTGGTGGGGTTTAGAGGAGTTATCCCTAATATAAAAATATCATCAGTCTCAGTCTCTGCAAAAATATTTATGAACAAAGGACCCCTCAGTCTGCCTTCAAATACCCATAACTTTTTCACATTCCATCCATCCATATCAATATTTAACTATTATCTCTCAGTCCAAATCATCAATCTGCTCCCCCGCCACAAACGGGAGTCCAATTTCTCTCTCTTTTCTCTTTCTCTTTCTCTTTACTGTGCACATAACAATAATTCATGCATGACTGACAAATACATACAGATTTGTATATATTAGTAACAAGGCAAAGGGGGAGAATCCTGTGTATATTCTTTCTTTACTTGTTTATTATAATATATTTATATAGAAAGAAAAATATGAGAAAATCTGGAGATCAGTTTGATCTTTGCACCCCCATATGAAGACATTAACCCTTGTCTTACGGGTGCTTTTAGCTTGAGGTTATGTCATTCTCAAGTTTCTGAAAGAGACACATCGATCCATCGCTATTGGGAGAAATTAAATAAATATTTTAATTAAGAAATATTTTTATATATGTTTCATGCAATATTAGTTTCTATTAGATACTATACCCTCTTCCAGTTTCATTTAATATGACATGATTAATTTAATAGAATATACGGGCTCAAACTTTAGACTTTTATCTTGGGTATCATGTTATATTTTCGTTACTCGTTACATCTCAAAGTTTAAGCTTATACGTAGGTGAGAGTTCAACATTATATTAGTCGAATATAATTAATTAATAATAACATATTATAACCCAAATTTTCAACAAAGGTAAAACTTACAAACTCTCACATATAACATGTATAAATAATCATATTTATAGGTCTTATTTCGTTATAATAACTCTGTGTCTTTAAAGCCAAACTTCTAATATTATTTAAAGAATGATGTACTTATAGCATGCAATGTTAAATTTATAATGTATGTGTGATATAATTATCAAAAGATCATCGACACTATTCATATACACATATTTATTAATTTATTGGGTACATATATAATTATTATAATATTTAAAGTATATACATACTAATTAATTTATAGTATTGTTGATGTGATTTTTTTTATGGTTAGCAGTGTCTAAACCAGTTTACCTATACCTCAACTAATCTTTAAAGACTGTGAAACTATCGGTCGGATAAAAATTTCAGTGACTACTTTTATTAGCAACCAAAGAATAACTCGAATTTAAGATCTTTTAAGTAATACACTCAAGAGTCTTATATTAATGTAATATTATCGTGATATCATAGACTTGTCTTATAATTATTCACACATATAAAAATATATTTGTATGTACATATGATATGTATTTATATAATAATATACGGTGTACAAATAATTTGGAAGAAGATGATGCAGAAGACAAAGTGAAATAAAAAAAGAAGAGGTGTTGGCAGAAAGGATGAGAGAGATTGGAAAAATGATCTCGAAGGGTGCAAAAACTTGCACAGTAAGTTTGACCGTCAAGGAAGGAATCAAAATCAAGAGGGTAAAAAATTAAATTTAAAAATTAAAACCCACATGGCCCCTAAAGTCCTTTTATTATATTAAATTAAAGCCTGCCTTACTGTAAAAAATAAATGCTCTCGGTAATATAATCATAATCATACCCCAACCAAACCAAACAAAAAAAAAATTAAATAATTTTTAATTTTATTTTTATGGACTTTTGACCTAATACCCTAGTTTTGTTAAACACGTTTTAGGGTTGGCCAAATCACTTTAATTAGTTTATTAATCCTTGTTTATTACTCACCAAATTGGGGTTTTGAAATAATTTTACTGTTTACTTTTACTACACGTCTACATTATTTTATCATTAATCTGAGAAAAATCTTGGGTTAGTTGAATATGTATCACCGTCAGTTTAGATGGGTTTTTTTTTTTTTTAAATAATTGAAAGTATCTGAACTAACTTACGCGTACCTCAACTAATCTCCCACGATCTTAGAACTATCGATCGGATAAGAACTTTAGTGACTATTTTGATTAGCAACCGAGAAGAGAACTGAAGTATATACATACAAAGAGTAAGCTTGGTCCAAACGGTTGGGGCTTTAAAAGGGGGAAGACTGATGAGTCTTTTGGTGGTGGGAGATTGGATTTGGTGGTTAAAATTGATCAAAATTTGACTTGAGAGAGGCGACTGCACAAACCCTAATCGTTCGATTGCCGACAATTGACATGATCGATTGTAGTAGAGTTTGAGAAGTTTTGATGAGTATTAATCAGGGAAAAGAATGGTAATGGTGTAGGATCGCAACGATGCTAGAATTAAAAACATAATATAAATTTGGATAGCCAAATGGTATTTTAGGAGTCAGTCAGTGAGAAAATGTCATTAAACTATTTTTTAGGGAGAAAAAGTCGTTTATTCTATAGCCTCTTTTATATATATATATAAAAGAGGCTAGGAATGTACATGGAATGAGCCATGAAATGAAAGTAACTTCATGCTCTATTAGTACTTTTCACTATATAGTTTTAATAAAATTATAATACATAGTATGAAATTTGGTTTTAAACTTCTTTTAAAAAAATAATAATAATAATTTGTCGATTGTAAGGTCTGAGCATTCTGGGCATACTTCTTTGAACCATACTATACTTACTCACCATCTTACTAACCATCTTACTATCCTTTGTAAATATAACGCATAGTACTGGTACTATACGCATAGTACGGGTACCATGTAAAATTTTAACAAAGGTTGTATGGCAGTTAGTACAAGTGGTGAGTAAGCATAGTGTTTTTCTACTTCTTTTGGACTGATTACATGCACCTGAATTATGATAAAAGGAGACTGTCTTCCACACATGCATTAAATATTTTATTAAATATTTTAAAGAATTAATTTTATGCATCGATCAAAAAGGGGAATTAATGAATGCCATGTGTTGAAATTCTAATTATGCCACCCAAACTTGAAACGACATATGTTTCTCATGCCCTTTTGTCAAATCAATCAAACCCTATTTAGGAT